GGTGCCGTGTCTCATGCGGGAGCTGGCGGAGGGGAGGGTGGGCTGCACCGGCGCGTCCGGGCGAGAGCCTGCGGTGAGGGAACCAAGGTGAGCTGTTGGCTCTGGAGGTCTCCACGAAGCCTGACGTTCGGACAGCAGCTGCGAAGGCACACAGTATTGCATGGTCAGGGCGCCCTATGCTCAAAGCTCACTGCCCCGCTGGCAGAAGGTGCTGTATCGAATTTAACAAAAAAAAACCGCAATAGAAAACTTCAGAGGGAGCTGCCCTCAGTCTCTCCTTGGAGTATTTATTCGTTCGGCAGCAATTCAGGAGGTACTCAGTGGTCACGAAGGAAACCTTTCATCTCACAGAGGACTGGCTCCATGGTGGAAAATACCACAGGGGCAGGGAGGGAGGTTCCGTCCGCAGGTGGATGGTGGCTCCAAAGAGCGGTGAAGGTTCTAAGACCTGCCAGCCTGTGTGTCTTTGACCCAAACTAGGATCTGAATTTTCTGGTTAAGGGTTTTTGCTACAATGGGTTGAACTGCGTTACAAAACCAGAACACCACGGTCACTGGCCTGCAAGGAGTAACGAAATCCAGCCCAAAGTACATAACCATTTCTTCTCAGTCGGGACCATGTGTGTACTAATGCAGCTTTTGAGAGAAACCCAACCAAAATAAGCCTTTGCTTGCTTGATTCACAGCTCTATAATAAAACATAAGCCTGCTTAGATTTACTTCGCAGCACAGCAAAACACTCACATTAATTGTACACTGCCAATTAAATTTTTGGTTTAAATAATAAAAAAAACCAACTAAAAAATAAAGACTAGAAAACTGTTACTGCCCTTTAAAGGCACATTGTTATTCATAATCACTGCGTTTTAGTTTCCACTTTAGGTAGCATATGAAGGATTAGGATTTCAGTGAAAGAGGGGGACAGAATAAATTGCATCCTCTACCAAAGAACTGCCAGACCTTTTCAGATGGGTGCATACCATGAGCCCTTCCCATGTTAGTCAGCTTTATCTAAACTTTCCAAAGCAATGTCTGCCCCTGAATTTCATGGGTTTCAGGGTCAGTCACAACAGAATTGTGGGGCTGAGGAGGTCAGAGGCCATTTTTGTCAAAGGGTAGTGACCTTAGCAGCAAGAGGTAGCCTGACAAAAATAGGATTCACGCTAGTGAATGGAGTTCTCACTGTTCTTCCCCTGCTGAGTCTTTTTTCTACCTGGTAATGAAAAATCTTGAAGAATTGTAATGGATTTTTATGTGCATACATATATACATGTTTGTATGCGTGTATACATCTATTGGAAATATATTATAAATGTTATGTTAGTTATGCTATAATATATAGTAGTACAATATATTATATTGTATATATTGCATCTATCTTTTGTTATATGTTTCCACCCATGAAAAAGATCACAGTTTTAATAAAAAGTTTATTTGTTGTGAGAAGAGAGGAGAAAGAAAGTGAGCGAGAAAAAAGAAGAAGAAAGGAAGAGAAAGTGAAAATGAGGTTGCATATTTTGGCATGTAGTATAAAAGCTGCTTCAGAAGGATTTGTGGAGTCACATATTTACTTTATATACACATAAATACATGGCTATGCAAGAAACAGCAGTTTCAGTTACCGTCAAGGGAGGGCTTAATTAAGCGGCTGCAGGCTCTGACTCAGCAAGTTTGGCAATTTGCACTAGGATGATTTAAGAGGTGCCTGCCTGTAACTAGCTGTTCTGTGCAGAGGTTATCATCCTCTCATGAGCTGCTGGACTTCACAGCCTGGTATATACCCCTGTGACCTGAAAGCTGTTGCAGTTTATATTAATATGGTGGGTTCTGACCTGCAGTGGTCAAGGAGGGGGCCTGCCTTCCCTTGCAGTGCTTCAGATGCAGATGGTGACCTCTGTAGAGCTGTGTTTGGTAATCTATATGTTGCTTCCCATGAATGTCCAGTTTAAATTTCAAAGCCCTCATCAGGAAGCAGTTCAAAAGAAGTTGGAAGTGCACGTTCAGACTCCTGTGACACCAACACAAGTTTCTAAATGAATTAAAACAAAAAAAAAAAAAGAAAGACTGTGGAGGTTCTTTTGCAAAACACTTTCAAAGCCCGATCTGACTGACGATCTTCTGTGGCTCTTTGTTACGAGCAGCTTCGTGTTGCTGCTGTTGGTCAAACCTCCGCCCAGGACTTTGAGCACGATGTTGCAGTTCTCCACTCAGAAAGTCTTTATTATTTCTGGGGCTGACAGTGTGTCTAATATCCATCCTCCTTCCTGAACTGTCTCCCTGAGCGCTTCAGGTCGGGGTAACTGAGTTGTCCCCAGATGTGTTGAAGGATACAGCACATTTGTATACTAAAAACAGCCTCTTTTTCTCCTCTCCTTCAGTCAAAGGAGATTAGACTTTATTTGGTTTAACAAGTAATTCTAAAATAATGTAGTAAGTTCCTCTGGCTTCCCTTGAGCAGTGCTGGGGTTCACCTTCTTCGTGATCCTTCCAAAGACCCAACTTTGGGTTACTGGTAAGTTCTGCCCACAATCGTCTCACCAATGCATCTGGTCCTTGGAGGGACCCATGGCTGGTCATGGCCAATAGTCTGTCAGGTAACTGGAGATTCATCAGTGTTCTTGAAAATGAATGAACAGGGTCACAGTGGGCTCTTGGCAGATGCAATGCAATGCAGAGATTTGGAATTCATTGGGGAAGAGAAAGTGGATTTTTCTATTCTGGTAACACTACATTTCCCATACTAATTTCTCACAGTCTCAATGAGGCAACAATCTCTATGCTTGTTAATAATTAATAAGCCAGAATAAATGCTTTGATTTAAACATCTTCAGTAACAAAATGCAAAGTAGGACTTTGGTCTCAAAAACATCACAACTCCAGCTGCTAAAGACTGACCACTAAAAAAATCTTCCTGGTATGACTTACTTTCTTCACGTGTAGACAATTTTGCCTGATGGTAACCTGAGTAAGAATAAAATAGATGAGTTAGCCTAAGCCTGACCTCCCTTGTCCTTAATGAAAGTGAAGAGTAAATGTATTGGGTAATGACACCAGCTGACAAGGGTAAAATTTCAGGTCTGTAACACTAGCCCAGGAAACAAGATTTTCATCAGGTACCTAAAGGTGGAGATGAGCTCCTGCTGTGTTTCTGAAAATCCTATCAGGACCTTGGCTGAATGCTTAAGAGCCTGGACACTTGCCAAACCTGTCCTGGAACCCCTTCCTCCCTCAATCCTTGCAGATTTCCAGCTCATTCCTCTAGTTACGTTAGACTCCAAACTCTCATCAGTTTACCCACTAGTTAAACATAAAAGGTGTGAGAATTTTGCCACTTTATTTACTCACCTAAGGAAAAATGACTCTTCCATTTCCACTATTCCAGTGGCAACACATTTGTTACTAGGTGCTGTAAAGAAGACAGCACATCTTATCTGCCTCAGTGAGTACACTGGCTTCGGTGAGCAACAGCAGCAGGACTTAAACCAAATGATATAAAGTCATCAATCTCTTCACAGCCTTGAGCACGTTCAGCTGAAAGCACAGGTGTAGGACTACTCATTTGCTGTGAGTTACGTATGTTCTCAAGTCTTTCATTGGATAAAAACATACATTGCCACATTTAGGGGTTTTTGAAGGCTTGCTTCTGTATTTAAGTAAATTTAAATGGTATCTTTTTCATTTCAAGAATTTTGAGCGTGAAAATCCCTCCTATATCTTGCACAACTGTACAAATAACACTTTTGTCCATTTTAGGCATAAACATGGTTATCATCACACTGGGTGCTATCAAAGATTTTATTTACAAAACAATTACTAAAATGCCTGATGTCATATTTCCATTTATTTATTTCTTACCCATAGGGTAATAGGTCCACCATAATCGCGTGGTGCATTTTATAATACAGAAGAAAAAGCTATGTTAATAAAATCTAACAAAAACTCACAAATAGCTACAAATCTGACAGAAAATGTCTAAGAAAATTCTCCCCAAAATACAATACATTTTTCCACACATACACAGTACAGAGTAAGTTCAAAGGCACAGCTTTGAATTTTGCTTTTGTAGAAGTATATAGAATTATCACCATGTGAAGGAATTGAGAGAACATTTTCATACCTGTCAATAGGTAATTAAATGAATAATCATGTTTGCATTGCCATTTTCTTTACATAATTGCTTCATATCATCATATTTAACATACGTGGCTCTGAATCCAAAATCTTCCCAGTCCCCAAGTCCCTTCTTAACTTTGTCATTACTGACCAGAGAAATTAGATTTTTCCAGATTGTGCAAACTTAACACAAATACATATATAAGAACAATAGTCAACTTAAGGCAGCAGATAATTCAATGCTACATGTCTTTTCTTCTCTTTTGTAAAGATCAAACTTACCGGATCAACAGAAAGGTGCATCAATATACAAAGTTAGGTGTAAACTGAAACCTACAACACCACAGGTCTTTTAAGGAGCCAGACAGGGGAATTGATATGAACAAGTGATGACTTGGCAGAATGGTTCTTAAAAAATGCAGTAAGAGCTTAAAAGAAGAACAGATGACAGGGTTTTGCTGAGGGTGCATTTCCTGTCTTTAACTCAAATTATAAATAGATTTCGTTCCGGCACTTTTTTTTTTGTAAGACTCATTAACATTTGTCAATAAGAGAGGAGGGCAAAAATGGCTCACTCAAGCTGACATCACACAGGGTTGGCCCACATGCCAGAATTAAAAAAGGCACAGATTGGCCCAAAAAGTGGTCTAGAATAGCACAAAAATCTTTTTCAGCTACAGGAACATTCAGTCACACTGGTCTGCAATCTGCCCACATTATGAACTACATTTATCTGCCCAGGATATTTTCCGTATTCACCTCCCTTGAAGAACGTCCATGAAAAGTCCCACATAACACGTGAAGTTTTTTATAACTTTTAAGTATATGGGCTTAGGTGATACCAGTCATTTTCATTTAGCCCAACCTGTGGTGGCTTCCCCATTGATGTAGGCAAAGCCGGGAAAGTGTTGCATGTGCTCATATTCAGAATTTCTGCGCGTAGCCAAGGGGGTGTACATGTCACTAGAATTTCCATATCTTGTGGAGTGCATGGATGGACTTGTGTAGCAGGAGTTTGCAGCCGGGACCTCCGGCCAGCGAGGAGTCACTGGTGTGGGATGCAGCCTTGGAGTACTGCTCATCAAACAGGGCTCCATTCTTGAAGTGGGGCTGTTGAAAGGGTACTACAGTAAAAATAAAGAAAAACAAATTAAGGAATTATCTACCACATTCTTAATTTTAAAATTAGGGCTGGTGGTATCACAATTCCGTGTTTAACAAACCAAAATCATATGAATTAGCATCCCTCCAACAGGTAGGTAACATATCAGATATCTATTGCCTGCAGTCAAGCTGAAGTGTCAGGGAAAGTCTTGCAAAGCAGTCAGTGCCTTTAAATAGTGAATTAATTTGTTGAAGAGCTAGGTACTGGCAGATATATCCATAAGCAAAAAAAAAAAAATTGAATTAGTCTAATTTTTTCTCACAGCTTTTCCTTGCTATTCAGTGAAAAACAGAGTATAAAATGTCCCAACTCCTGCTCACTCAACTATATTTTAAGGAAGGAGAGCAAAAGGATCTTCATTACTGGAAAGGTGCCTTCCCTTTTAAATGTCCACAAGCCCTCCTGCCAGTTTCTGCAGAAAAATAGTATGGTCTGGTCTCAGAGCAAGCAGCTAATTGGAGAACTTATGAAAAGAAGCAGGCAGATAAAGAATCTCTCTATTCCCCAGCTGTTCGCAGTGACAGTTGGAAACTAGAAATCAAAGTTCGACAAATGCTCCCACTAAGGAGATGTGCTGAGGAGAGGACAGGCAGGAAAACAGAGAACAGCTTTTGCTCTCTATAGCCACAGGCTGCCCAGCAACAGAAAGTAAACTGTGCTTATGAGGGCTTGCTTAACATGTCTTTATCTTACTGCCTGTCTTGCAGGAACAGATCGTGTGTGCACTCTGCCTAAGAAATGGCTCTCTGTATTTTGTCCTCCTATTAGCCATCTGCGTCACAGACACGGGTAGGATCCCTGTTCCCCTTGACCAGCCACGTATCTTCAGAACTTCTCTATTTTACACCTTTATACCTTTTCTACAAAAAGTGTCATAACTTAAAATTTCGTTATCTTGGGTGATTTGACACTGTGGTATTTCCTTAACTAGCAGGCTGTCAGCAGAGTAAAACTATCACCTCTTCTGATGCTCACAAATCTTGCAAGCTGCATGCTGAAACTTTGTATGGCTGAGGACTGTAAAACTCCTTCCCATATTTTGGAGGGTCATGGAGAGAAGAGCTGCCATAGTTGTCCATAGGAGGGAGATGGCAGTGATTCCCAAAAGGTCTCATTACGTTACTCCACTGCCAAATGGGGCTGGGGTTAACCAGCTCCATAAGTGGGTCCCCAGGCAATGACAGCAAAGTCTCCATGAGGAGTTTCTGCCGGCTCCCTTCAGACCACAATCAGGAAGGCAGCCCTGCCTTGGCAAACAGGTTTGAACAGTTCACAAGCCTCAGACAGCTCAAAAGCCACACAGTGCCCACTCCTAATTGGATAGGAGAAAGGGAAGATTATTTTTGACCAACATACTGGAGTTAGTGATTTAGCATATTCCACTGTGTCCTGGGGAGACAGGCCAGTTAGCAGATGAGAAGGAACACATCAAAGCTGTATGATGCATTATTTCCTAGAATTATAGAATGGTATGGGTTGGAAGGGACTTTAAAGATTGTCTAGTTCCAACTTCTCATCACCACAGAGATTGTGGATTTACCTGTGCAATCAGCTGCTGAAAGGGGCTAGTAAATGGCAGCACTATACTGGAATGTCAACATTTCCACTGGTACTGCTAGTACAGCTATCAAAATAAGCAGTATTGGCAACACTGTCAAGAAGTCTACACTAGATAATCTAGATTTCCGTCTTTACCCCAAAGAAAGGCTTTTCAGTAGGAAAATTCAGCAGAGCTTAGGCACTGACTGCAGAAAGCCTTATATTCCTTTGCAGAAGAATCAGGTTTTCAGAGCTGTTGGCTTTCCAGAAGCTTTACTGAAGATAAGAGCTGCCAATGCACAGCAACAATGAAACTCAAGCGCTGAAGTTTTAAAAGAGGTGATTTGAATTTAGGATCATGCATCTCTCCTTTAACTCACTAATTAAGGCCAGGGCACTCTGTCGAAAGACAACCAAACTGCAAGTACTCTAAGTAAACATAAGAGGTTCCAGAAAAAGTTGAACAATTTTCATATTTTTATTGTTTGGGAGACTAGCTAATAGATTTAGGATGCTGCTTCCTGGTCTGCACTAGCATTACACGTCATTTTCACACTAGTGCCTGCTCACTGCCTTTGCCTGAACATCTTCATGAACAAAGTTCTTGCCGCAACGAATACAGAAGTAACCAGGTATCTTGTGATTCGCTGTAGCTTCAGAGTTAAATTAATCTCACCCAACTTTAGTTATCAAAAAGTCAGGTGCCTAACAAAGTGAGTCATCTGTGCTCTGTCTACAACCACCAGAAGAATTTATCAAATAATTTATTGAGATAAATATTTAAGAGACAAGATGAGCAGTCCTCAGAAGATGGCCCTTTTCTTCCTCCTGCTACATGATGTAATCCATTAGCTAGCTTAGCTCGAATTAAATAGAAGTCCCTTTTCCATAGTTGTAAAATCCTTAAGTTGTTTCTCCTGGCTGATCTCGAATGTTCCACTAATGACTGTTTAGAAAATACTTTTAGGTGGTTAAGAGTCTGGACCAGGATAGATGATTAGTAAAAAAACACACCACACAAATAACACATTTTTAACTTTCTGTTTTCTCTATGTTACCTGTGGAGTCACAAGATATGGGCCAAGCTAGAAACATTCTTCTTTGTCTTCAGTACTTTTTTATTTTATACCAGTTATCATGGTCTTTGCCTTTATTACCCATGGATCTATGCCTGAAGTCACTGTAGATTCTTGTATTATAGAATATACTTAAAAGATTAATCTAGACTTTTGCCATAATACACCAATGATTATCTGTTGTCTTCTTCCCAAGGTGATATTTGATCTGCTCTGTTATTAACCATAATACAGTCCTTTGCCATCCTGACTCAGTGCAATTTTCCTTCAAGGCTGTGAAACTGAGGTTGTGACTTGTAACAGGAGAATTACTTGCTTTCATACCCCTTACAAATGCCAAGAGAAAGCCCCAGCTTCGGCCAGGTTAACATGCTACTTGATAATTTACAGACTGCAAAACTTTTGTCTAGAGCAAGAGAAACACTGGGAATACTGTGGTGGGTCTCCTGGTTGTACACAGCATTATGTGGGGAAGCCACAAAATGTCTTTTAGGTAGTTTGGACACAAAAAACCTGTGCCGTTGGGGGAATGAAATCTTGGCTCCCAGAATGAACCTCAGGATGCACTGAGAAGGAAAGATAATCCTCCTCCTATCTGCAGTCAAGAGGCCATGCTAAGGCTTACTAAGAAGACAGGGCTGATGGCTGTGCATGAGGGGACAGGATACAGTGCGCTGCTTTTCCTTTTCATCAAGCACACCCGATGCAGCTGTGTTTATGAATGTGTCATGAATGTAAAAAGAATAATTGCTTGAAAATAACATGGACTCTAAATATCTAGTATTTTACAATAAATTCTGTTATGACTGAATGCAAGATGGAAAGTTTTGTAATGGTAGGTCAGCTAATCGCAAATGAGTCAGTGTCTTCTTTTTTCCTACAGTGAAGAGACTATTGAAAGACAATATTTTTAAAGTACTCGTTGGCCCCTGCCTGACTATTAACTCACCCAATGAAGCATCTATTCAGCCTTGTTGGAGTGTCCAAAGCATAGCCATCTGGGCGGATGCCTGCCCATGCTGCCTGAATCACCTTTCACACTCTACATCCGGTTTAATGAAGAGTGCTTAAGCATGCTGAACTCAAAACACTGGGGCCTAGTGATCTTTACCAGATATAAAAGCGACATTTGTTGGAGGGCTCTTGACAGGAAATTACCATTTTCTGGGTTAACTCACACTTGCTGCTACTGCTGCTGTTAGACCTAACAAGAAGCCCTTTAAGTCTGGGAGACTTTGAGCAGATTATTGTTAAAGTCTTTCCTAAAAATTTAAAATTAATTCAGTTTCTTTTAGTATTATTTTAGAAAATACAATGTTAAATATATTCTCCCATGAAGTAAAGACTGAGTTCCTGCAGTGTGAGGATGGAGAATAATCTCTTTATTATTATCCCCAACTCACTGACTGATTATGCATGGAGGTGAAAGGTGTCTCTGTCCAAACAGCAAAATATTTTCCTTATGAATGTGGCTCTGACTTTACATTGCATTAGCTCACACTTTTGCAGAATGCTGTAAGTTAATGTTGTACGTTAACCACTACTTTAGGACTTGCAAATAAATGATACCAGAAATTATAGCAATTGTGAAGAACTGGCTATAAATTAACCTCCTAGAAATATGCTTAAAATATCAAAAATGACATAATCAAAACAATTGATTGATTAGGTCTTTATAATGCTTAAAGTGATCCTTTTCTCCACAAATTGAAGCTTCGTGAATATTAGTTTGTGAAATAGGTTGGGTGAAACTTTCAAGTCAATCTAAGTGCTTTTGGTACTTTGGGACTGGTATTTGGAGCCTTATGAAAATGGTATTTGTAATTATTTTTAAAGTTGTTAAGACATCTGTTTCCTGTTGCATTCAATACATAATTACTTCAATTACATTCTAACAATCTCCAGTCCATTATGAAGCCATACAGTTAGGAACAATGATTCTTGTTGCATGGGTGGCATTTGGACAGTATTTTTTTCTTTCTGTCTTTACTAGCTGTTTGGTGACAGAGTGGTTATTGGAAAGGGTATATTATTCTTACTACATTGGTATAGTCATGAGCTTATACTATGTTCATCCGGGGGGACAAGGGGACAAGAACTTTTCCTCTGTTTTTGTTTTTTGGGGTTTTTTTTTGTGGTGTAGATGGGCCAGAACAATGTTGAACGGACACTAAAGGACAAGCTCTCTCTAGAAGATCTCTCTAGAAGAGGATTTCTTTGGCTCCCCCACTGTAACAAAAAACAGTTGCTACTTTCTTCCAGTACTGTCCCTGCATAAATCCTGCTGTAGAGGCATACGAAGGGAAGACGTGGTTGGTAGGACTGTAGCATGCAACATTGCACA